TTCTTCAAGATCGTTGATCCTCGGAGTTAAACATCGGCACGTAACTATCTAGAAATAATCGCGTCTCGGCCCACAAATTAGAACGCGCGGACGAAATTCGAAGAAATTAATCCCGACCTGGGGGAGAGAGGATTTAAATCCGCCCAGTCACCAACCCTCGACGTAGGGAAACGTCGGAGGTTGGAGAACCGCGATGGCGGGGTGGAGAAGCTAGCAACGGCAGCGCCGGCGAAATGCGATAAAGTTGGCGTAGAGGTAATTTGAGTATAAAGTTTTATTCGCAATAATTTAGCCGCGCGGACGGGGTCGAGGGCAGAATCGGGTAAGTAGAGGAGAGAGAAGCGGGCTCTCTCTCACTCTCTTCTTCTCGCCAGGCACCGGGGAAGTGTGCGGGTCATATATTTGATGGGATACTTGGCATAAAGTCGTGCATAAAAGTAATGCCGACATTAAAGTTTGCGGTTCCAGAGACGTGGCACGAACCCATCGCCCACGCTTCTCCTGTTCTCTCGGAACGTCGTCATCGCGATATGCAGCGGCTGCTCGATTTTCCTGGTCGTCACGGGAGACGCAAACTTCTATCAACACTCGTACGCGTCCGTTATTATTCCCGCGCGGTCCACTCTATCGGTTTATTAGAAATAAATTCCGCGGGTATAAAGAGCCATTCGACGTCGTTATCGACGACGTTTTTGGAACGTATACAGTCGCTGGACGCGCTCGAACAATCTCGACGATTTACGCGCCTTGTCCGCCCCGTTATCCAAAAAATACGTATTTTTCGAAAGTTTTCCCGTAGTCGTAGAAAAAAAAAAAAAAAAAAAAAAACCGCGAGACAAAAGATATAGAAATTGTGACATACACAGAGAGAGAAACGCGAGATGCAGCTTTCCGTCTCTAGCGCGATACACAGTTTCAGAGAACGAATGATTTATCTCGTCCTTCTTGTTCTTCAAATTTCCAAGTACAATCCCGAGATTTAAGCGGCATGCGGCTGCGACATTCGCATACTTAAAGCGAACGGCAAGGAAGCTTGACTCTGGGGTGGGAGATGGCACTTCGGGGTAGGTAGCGAAGCAGTTTAGTTCAGGAGTGGCCGTTGGGGAACGATCTGACGGCGCCAGGGGAGGCATAGCTTCTTCCCACGTGGCACTCTCGACACGGCTCTACCCTCATAATTCTACCAAGCCTTCCTCCGAGAGGCGCCACCTCCAAGAGGTTTCTCTCTTAGGCGTCGTAATCGTGAGAGCGAAGGAGAATGTCGTTACGTGACGTTCGCGGAAATTTCCCTTCCTCTCGTCCCCCTCGAGAAGAAGATCGGTAGGAGGAGGGAAAAGAGGAGAGAGACCACCTCTTCTCTCTTCTCTCCCCACACGAACGACAAACCACCGCATGATTTTACGGCGACGAATCTGGAAAGCTCGGGAGATGGCGAACTCGCAAATCCACGGCGAGATGCGAGCGGGAATTTAACTTTACGATGCGCGACGATTGAACGCGAGGTTCGGGCCAAGATTCAAGCGGCGGAAACATGCGCGATTACGAGTGCGATTTCATCGGGAGATTAAAACAAATGCGATCTTTAATGGCTGGGTCACGTGGCGTAAAAGATCGATTGCGATCAAATTATTGTTCGCGTAAGTACACGACTGGACGACACTTTGTTTTCTCGTAATGTCAATGCACCGTATACTCGCAATTTATCAGCTTCAAGCGTGGAAGCTTAATTATATAGATGTAAGAAGTAAGGTCGCGAAATCTGTGTTGGAACCGTCTCGCGCCGCAGATCGCAACGAGAATCGTATACGGGGAAAAGCACAGAAGAAAGGGCACACTCAATGATTAGATGAAGTACCGGAAAGGTAGGGGAAAGGGAGGAAAAAGGAGGGAGAGAAAGAAGAACAAGAGCGGAGAATCGAGCACGAAGGGAGAAACACTGTTGTAGCGTCAGGAAAATGTTGGGGTTACGTCGTACGAACTTCGTTCTCATCCACTCGTTTCTCTATTTTCCCGGCAACCTCTGTCCATAAAAGAGACTCTCGCTCTTTCTCTCATACTCCGCACTTAGTGGTACTCCCTGTTTTTCGTGGGATCGATACAATCTCTCCCTTTCAAAAATAATACTTTTTTTTTTCTTCGAAGAATCAAATATCTCGCGAACAAAATCTCTCCGATCGCTCTCGTCCCGGAAGAATCTCTCCGTGACTCTTGTTAGATCTGACGTAAGAATTTTTTGACCATTACACGAGAACGATAATGCGATAACGTAACGCGATCGGCTTGCGCAAAAAACATACGCCGACTCGATTAGTCTTCGGTAAATTGCCTCATCCCTCGTCCGGTGGCATAGAAAATTAGCCGTCGGTTGCGCCGATATTTAGCAATGCATCGATAACGAGCGCTCGTAGAGGCTCGCGTTAATTAGAGCGCCGAGGCGCGCGAATGAATTTTAAGGCGAAAGCTGGCTTCGCATTCGCATTCACGCATTCGTCGTACAAGAAGCGCGCTCGTGTCGCAACGGTTCGCGTATCATCTGTATCGCGATGCAATCTGCACCTGTTGTGGCAAAAGGACCTACCTCCCTTCCTTCCTTCGTATATATACACGTCGTTGCATTTATTAGATCGTCGATTACGTTCATTATGCCGCGCGAGCGAAATCGTTACGTGCCGTTTCGCGGAAGCCACGCGCCTGATTTTCATCATTCAAGAAATGCCGCTCGCGTTTCACTCGCGGAGAAAGAATAACGCATCGCTGGTTATGTACATACAGCGAATGAATGTTTTTATCAGATTTTTACGGAATGCCATAACGTCTTCTTCGAAGAAATACATTTTTCTCATTAATAATTTTCTCAAGTTCTCATGTCTCGTTTATATAATGATTTTAGGTGAAAGGATACAAATCGGATCTTATTTTAAATCAAAGATAGAAATGCGTTTTTTTCAAATGTAAATTATTTATCGATAACTATTTACTCTTAATATTTATTTAAAACATACATTATTTATATTATTTTTATTACCGCGCAAAAATTATCTCGAAAATCGTAATTACTTACGTGTAAAACGACGAGGAAAATAATCAGTTATCGAAAAACACGATAGGACGATTAATTATTACAGGTGTGGAACTTGCACATGTGGGGTGCGACGCGCGATAACTCGTCAGTTTAGGATCGTTGGTATCCCGACCACCCCAGAGTCTAACCTTGATAAGGATCGCTGCTAATTGTTGCGAATTGGCGAAGGTGGCGAACGAACGAACGAGGGAGGTTGGGCAACAGGTGTCATCTGATTGATCGCCGTCGCTCGCACCCCCACGATTACCTAGCCCACAAACACATCCACGGTAGAAACGAAGGACTTAATGTCGATCCATTACGTACTGGCCCATCCCAACGAGGAATCGTTGACCTGACGCGCTCCAAAGTGCATTACGGAATGAAAAAGGACGACAGTCGAAAAAGAAAACGAGACTCTGATGCGACCACGTGTATCGCGTGTGCTATTCCTACGAATTGCTTTGCCCAAAGAGATGTACATTTTTAGAAGCATAATAAACTTTTATAGCCTATACTTTCAAATAAAAAAAAAAACCGATACTCTAATTGACTGTAATCCGTACACCCGAAAAATTCGATAAGCCCGTGAAAAATGTTATTGCACACAATTTCTCCGAGGACTATCGTATTTTTGGTCAAATACACATTACAGCTGTCAAAATGCCGTTTTAAGCTCTTGAAAAATGGACTCGGTCGATTCGTCACTAGACCGCGCGCGTTACGACGAGACCGCCCTGCGAGAGCAAAAAGTCGTCCGTAACTCGCGGCGAAAGCGTTAAATCATCCAAGGCCGAAAGGACGTACGCGCGAGACGCTTCGCGGCGAGTCGCGCGCGCGGAATTAATAGCGCGCCTCTGTGAATATTCGACGCGGTAATTGATACCGACGTCGAGAGAGCGGCTGACCATTGAAACCGCACGCGCATATATCACGGATAATAAGCGGCCGGTGCACGCACGAGGGTGGAAAGAAGGGGAAGAACGTGAATCTCGAGATGGCCGCGCGCTTCGTTACAGCGTTGACGGCGAGTCCTCTTTCGAAGACTTGTATACGAGACGAGACGAGACGAGACGCGACGCGACACGGCGAGATTCCGCAAAGTCACACCCGCTCGCTATCCGAAGGTAGCGACCGACGGCGAACAATGGCCTCGTGTCTCCTGGCGCGCACACTCGCGGTAGGTAGGTCTAGGCAGACGTCAGAGGAGAATGATCGTGCGCGAAGTGACCCGCGTAATCGTAATTAATCATCGTGTAATCCGTGACTCGCGGATCGGTATCGCGCGGGGCGGCTACGCACCGGGTTATCGTCGAGCGGACGTTGGGCTCGCGCTCTAAGCGGCAATGTCGGGATTTATGGTCGGCCGTGATGGAACTGGAATGAACAATCGTTACTTTTATCGAGGCAGGCGCTCTCGCGGAGGAAGCAAAGAGGATCGCTTTCAGGAGGAATAAGCTCCGCGAGATGAGATGTCTTGGAAAATAAGATGCAACAAACATCGATATTCGTTTAGACTTTTTCCGCGTTAAACAGCTCGGATGATATCCGAATTAGCAATCCGAACGGCTGATTGTTCGATATCTCGATCACCGCTTTATCATCGCGTGAAGAATCGAGCGTCCTCGACGGGAAGATCTTGTCTCGTAACAATGCCTCATCGTCGATCCTTTCGCGTCCAAGGGATTCGGAATTAACAATACTTTAAGTTACTTTATTGTTGCGCTAGATAAAGTCACCGCGTATTAATAGATACAGCAGATATATCTGCTACGCCAAAAGCGTTCTCCATGAGATCCAAATCGGCGGACGCCGTTGCGCGATTTATTCGACGTATATAATCGTTCGGATTTTTATCCGAGAAGCAGAGAGAAAGAGAGGCGCGTCTCTCAGTGACATGGCGATTTTACTTACGACGTGCCTGACCTATTGTTCGCAGGATCGTGAGGAATAAGGCGGCAGAGAAGGCGAAGCACGCGCATCAGCAACAGCAGGCGCAGCAGCAGCAAGGTCAGCAGCAAGGTCAGCCGGGCTCGGGCGGTTCCGTGTCGGTGATAGCACACGCACCTGCGACAGCGGCAGGTCATCCCGCTGCCACCGCACCCAACGCCTACAGCATCAGTGGCATCCTGGGCATCCCGGCGCATCATCAGGATCCGAATGGCAACAGCATCAAGAGGAAACGCAGCGTCGACGGTGAGTCACTCGCGAATCTTCCCGCTCGTGTCACTGACCTTAGCTTCTTCCACTCTCCTATCCTTCTCTCCGTATGCTCCGTCATCGTGTAATATTATTTAATACCGAGTGCGTTTATCATCGGCAAAACGAGATCGCTTTAGATGTCGAATTGCAACTGAACTTGCAAGAAATTTCAAACAGCGCGGTGCGAAAGAAATTACATGAAGGAATGAAATATCGTTATTAATATCGCGAGTATACAAATCGAATAGCAGTGAGCTCATCTCGTAACACGGTTCAATAGTTAAGACGGTATGATTGTTCGTGAGAGAGACAAGCAAAATCGACATGACTCTCCTCTAAACCGACATGTATCGTTTTTCAACATAATTAAATGTTGCAAACTGATATAAAGTTGGTTTGCTTGCTTAATCAGTTTTTTTTTTCAATCAGAAACTTGCAAAGTAATTTGTTATTTTTTTGCAGTTTTTTAAATTAATCGCACGCGCTTACATGCTAAACTAACTTGTACTGTGATTTCTAAAAATTTGAAAGTTTTTTCCTGCAATTTTTTGATGAGTTATATAGTTAATTTAAGTAGTGGGTTATAGCAGAGTATTTTTATAATAATATTAAAACTGCAATATTCAATTTTTTTTATAGCAGCAATTTCTAGTGCAAATATCCATATGGATGTATATTTTCGTTTCAAACTTTTAGAGACTAAAAACCAAAAACAAAATGATATTTTTTAGTTTGAATCAGTGAGACGTTGCAATAACTTGTCGTGTATGAAGATTAGTGATAATTGCGCGACACGCAAGTTTTAAATAAGAAATACGATAGCATTTACATCGTCGTCATGGTCCAGTAAATCGACGTGAGTTGCGTCGGTTTACACGTCAGGGGCGCAGACAATGGAGAAGTTGAACAATTTCGGAAAGACTCAGACGTTAATATTACGGTGACGTTCGCGAGAACCTCCAGCATCAATTTGCGCGCGCTCTTATTGTCTTGTTCCCCGAGCATTCCAAATTTTCGCTGCTTTATTTAGTCGCGGAACAAAGGTTCGCGAATAATATTCCACTCAATTGTGATGTCTATTAAATTCAGAGGTATACGCAAAGGTAGAATGAAGGAGGGATTCGTTTACGGCTTAATGACAAACGCGAATCCCGTTACAAGTGATTCATTGTGACTCGTTTATACCGAGTACAAACAACTTCTTAAAATAACATCGAGCGATAATAATTCAAACGACGATTGGAAACAGACGATGCACAAATAGAGCATAACGAGCATTATCTGCACGACGAGCATTTGTCTATCGGGACAAATGTTTCGAGCCGGGATATTTTCTAGTCGTACGCGTTTCTCGTTTGCGGACGATCGAGGGCCACTTGGAGGCACTCGTTGCGCCCCGAGCGAACGAACCAAGATTAGCCGCATAACGCAGCAAGGTTATCAGTCAAACGTCGCCGAGCACGTGTTGCGATTCATTCTGCTGTCATTGCGTGAATAACGCGGCCCGAAATATTCTTGACACGTGCCACGTACACGTGACCAACTATAACGTTTTATAGCTTCGTGAAAGAAAGAGAGAGAGAGAGAGAGCGAGAGGAAGAGAAAAAAAAATAGTATTTTTGGCGTCGATCTTAATCCCGAAATTCGCGAGGTGCGAAAATATAATCGGGAAGAAAAAAGAAAGGGAGGGGATAGGAAAACAAATACGCACTTGCTCCGATATTCGGGAACGCTAGAATTCTCCATCTCTCTACCTGTGTCACCGGAGACTATTAGGCTAATACGATTCGCCGTGATTCCGCGGAACAGACGTAATTCTATTCCGCGGCAAAACGTACACGTCGACAAAAACCGCGCGTAAGCTCGATCAAAATTCCGCGAGCGCGCGTGTTTCGCGACGAGATTCCAGTATATCGATTCGAACGGTTGGGGCTTATAATGTGTGCGCGCGTATGTATGAGTGTGCGTGTGTATGTATGCCGATGGATACACGGGTAATTCAATATAATCGGATTATGAGAGCGGCGATATACGCGGCCGCAAAAGCGGTCGCGTCCGCGGCGAAAGCACTCAATGTTTTGCGAGCGCGCGCTCTCGCGCCGAGAGGAGGGTAGAGCTGTACGTATTAGATTATAAACTTCACAGACCACAGGCGGCTCTTCTATCTCGGGCCCCGGCGACACATTAGCCTCCCTGTCCCCCGGGGAGACCATCGGCGTGCACGTAACGTGTTGTACGCGTGTACCGCCTAACTGTCTGGAATTTCAACGAGCGTTCCTCCGCTGCCTTCGCTGCCGCCAGAACGTAAAAATCGACCGCAAGTGCTCAAATTTAATGAAACGCTCTTCGGCCAGAGAGAAAGAGAGAGATAGGGGTGCTCGAGAAAAAACTGTGTTACAGAGCGCGTCCAATCCTCCTGCTTCAACTCTCATCCGCTGCAAAGTAGCGACTGAACTCGGATTAAGATTCCTTTAATAAGAGTTATAACATTGAGATGATTTCGGATTATTTTCAATCCACCACGTGACAGACAAATTTTTGCGCGAATTTCAGACGTAATGTTTAAAGAGAAAACAAAAGTGCATGCAAAAATTAACTTTATATTGATAACAGAAAAAAAATCGCATGTTTAGAATTGTGCAATTTTTTGAAGTAATTTATATCTGTATCTCTACGAAGCGTCATACTATTTTGTAATTAATAAATAATTTATTGATGAGTTTGAGTATACAATTTTGGATAGTTATAAAATTATTGAACAAGATATATTGCAATAAATATTACATATTTATTTTTCATAAATAAATAACAAAATATAAAATCATCATTATTACATTTATGCGAGCTTTTTTACACTCTTATTAAAGGAACTTTAAATCGAACATCACTCGAGATTAAAAATATTTGCCGCATGTTGTTCGAATCGATTATTTTTACCGATACAAACGCTAAAGATATACTCGGTGAAAAAATCTTCTGTGTATGTTTCCGCAATTTGAGACTCGTCGGTCGAGAAAAATCGGTCCTGGCGCGACGACATTATTTATACCTTGGACGAACGAGCCAAGACATATCCGTGCCCAAAGTTTCCCGGAGCTTATTACGAATTTACGAACGGCCTCTCGAGGGAAGCGTTGCAATCTATCGGGGCTGTTTGTTGTCGCGTTACATCTGCGCGCTTCTAGCCCCATGCAGAATCCCAGAGCCCGTCGTGTCCCACCCTATACATCCCCCCTGGACGTTAGGGGCCAGATTCGCCCTAGAGTCCATTATTACCCGTGTATTGTATTGCTTAACATTGACTCAATTGCTTTCGAATAACGCGAATGAGAGAAAGCGAGTGTGTGTGCTACAGCTAAGCGCAAGCGCTCGTGCTTTGCCCTTTCGAGCATCAATCGAATTATTCGATTTACTGCTCTTTTTAAGGGGGAACGCGCTGACCTTCCTTCCGCGCGACATATAATTCATTCGCTGTCAAATCTGTCGAGAACCAGCTATGATTTCGACTTTCCGAAACTCGCAAACTTCGATTCGCCAAGCGAGTTTGTAATTTCAGCATCGTACAACCGAGAAAAAGAGAAATATATGTACGAATTTCAAATATATCAGTTTAAAGATTTAGCTAAAAAAGATTCGAATTTTCATCGTTCGATTCAAAATATTAATGACAAAACAAAAATGATTCTTGACGCGATAAAACCGATCGTCGCCGAACGATTTTACCAACTCATCAGCCGAAATACTCGCGTATAAAGCGGAATAGCGACGTTTCCAGAAAGCGCCCTAAACTTTAGCAAAACCGAGGCCGCAACGCGTTTGCACGCCGCGGCGCGGCCGCGATTAACTCGGCCGATCGAATCGTAAAATTCGAGCGGGACTGGGGAGGAGAGAGATTCAGGGAGATCGCCGCCGTGTTTGAAACGAGGGTTTTATAGCGGTCCAGGAACAAACCCTGCCGCTCGAATGGTCGTCGACCGTCGCTCTCTCGGCCGGCCGGACAATCACAACTTGACAGGGAGGTTTAACGAGCCCTATGCTAGGCGCCCCTTCCCCCTGCCCACCTTCCCACCCCCTCGGTCGTCCCACCCTCGGATGGTCATTTAATTATTCGAGATACCCCAGAACGTTGGACCATCTACCCCCACCGCCAGCGACGTTACGTCCGTACTGTCATTCTCTCTCTCTCTCCTCCTTCCTCTAACTCGTCCATCCCTGTAGCCCTCTCACCGGTCGGTTCCGTTCTCGACCTCCATCCCCGGCAAGGATTCGCGATGTCCGCCCGTCCCTCCCTCGGTACCGGAATAACGACACACTCGTCCCACGTGCTTGTCCCTATATTAAACCGCCGGGACGGCCGGGAGATAATAAAGACATATAATAGAATCGAAATTGTTTCTCTATCTATCAATGCCATACGCCGTCTACGCGCGAGCCGCGTCCACTCGACAGATTCAATTTAGTTTCGGCCAGCCACGTTTAATTTGTGTCTTGATTCGTGGGTTAATACGAGAGGCCGACCGCGTATCGGATCGCGCGCGTGCATGTATCGGTGAACCGCTGTACGTGCAATCGCATCCATTTTTCCTCATTCATTTCGAAATTATCAAATTCGAGATACCGACTGAAATGACACTCGTTGCATTTTGCTCGAGTATCGGAATCGCGGCAGCCTCCGCGTCATGTTGAATGAGAATAGACTGTCACAAACAAAAAAATCAAATTGAAAAGGAATGTATAAATTGTTCTTCTAAAAATGCAACTCTTGGAATTGATTACAGACGAAAATCGCGACCTGAACGACCATGCGGAGAACGACTTGAAGAGACAAAGAAGCAACTACAACGGCGATCAATTGTATTCAAACGTGAGTAAAGACGATGAAATTCTTTTTAAGCAGCGATATACGCTTCGACAAGCAATTCCTCACTTCCAAGTGCATCGAACCGCGCAGCAAACTATCTATGTATCCTACCTAATTACCTATACAAGTAATTGAAATTAAATCAGGTCGCAATCTCGAGCGTAGGTCAAGCCCGAGTATATATATATAGCGTACCTCGATTAAAACGCCCTAATCAATCAAAAGCGAACGGAAGTTCCATAGAATCTCCGCATAACTCTCGGGTAGTCGCTTGCGGTAATCGCGGGACCGAGTCAAGCTCGACCCCTCGCTCTACAACATCCAAGTCAATCTTGGCACTTGTTCTCGGATGTCCCTCCAACTCGCGAACTTCGACTTCAGGTTCCGCCGTCTGTGTTGCAGCTGTGGTCGAGTAAATGGAGCATCAAGGACGAGCACAAGCTCCTGAGCGAACTCGGCGGCGGTGGAGGCGGTGGGGGCGGCGGTGGCACAAACGGTGGTGGAAACGGCGGCGGCGGAGGTGGTGGCGGCAACAACGGCGGCGGCGGCGGCGGCGGCGGCGGTGGTGGCGGAGGTGGCGGCGGTTACTACGAACACAGCGGATTCCCCGGGAATGCTATTGCCACCTCCGCCGAGCTCTACGACTCCCTGGGCACCATCAGCACGATGACGCAGGCGCAAACGCCCCATCTCTACACTCCGCCCATAGGGGGCACCATAGGTGAGCGATCCCTCTCTTTTCACCCTCCGGCACCCTCCGACAACCCCCATCCCTGTCAGCGTGGCCTCTTTCTCTCTATCTATCTATCTGTCTATCTCTCTCTCTCTCTCTCTCTCTCTCTCTATCTCTCGCTCTCTTTCTTTCTTTACCGTTCCTCCCCTCGCACAGAAATCCTAGACAGTGTGTGCGCGCCACAACCTCTTGTACAACCTAATGTCATATACCGAGTCTACCACTTTCCTCCGTTTTCAACCCCCTTCTCTTCATTCCCAAAGACTCTTCTCTCTCTTTATTTTTTCCCCTCCCTCATCTCGTCTCCTCCCTGTACGCTTATTATTGCGGCTTACGTCTTGCTTTGCATACCCATATCGGCTAAATACATGGCTTTAATAATGCATGAGCTATGCCGAGCAGCGGCAGAAGAGGTGGCGGGAAGCTCCACACGGTGGTTCGGCGTTTTCAGCTTTAGGGAATAGCGCTCTCTCACTTCTCTCAGCCGTCTCTCTTTCTCTCTTTCTTCTTATTTTACACACCTGTATCTCTTTTCTTATCAAAATAGTACAGTCGGGGTTTCTTGTTCGCGGATCTTTCTTTCACCTTTCTCGCCTATATTTCTCCTCCTATCACGTATACAATATTTACTCTTTCTCTCTTTCTCTATTTTCATTCTTCCACTCTTCATCTCGCTCTCTACTTTTCTTGCGCCGTTTAAAGGCGGTCGATCAACGGCGGAACGTATACGGACGGTACGAGCTATTGAAAAGTAACCGGTACACAACACACATGAGCGGAACTTTCTCCGATGGAGCACGTGTTGCGAGCAACTCGGTCACGCCGCGTCGCGTCGCGCCACGCCGCGAATTCTCTCCGATCGTTGCTTTTCGGAATGGACGAAGCGAGGCGTGTAACGGCGGCTTCATCTCATGAAATTCAATCGAGGATCTTCGCCCTCGGATCGAAAGATTTTTGAAGAACGACATAAACGGTCCAAGTCGCGATCGCTACCCCGCCGTTAATATGTAATAGTATCGCGAAAGTAAAGTGATTGTGCGCGAAAGTACTTGGACTCTTTTTGAACATTACATGCGTGGACGCGAAGGAAGACTAGTTGCGCTAATATACAAATATCTATTCTGTCACGCTATCTTTTTTTGTAATAATTCTCGCGAGCAATCTCTAAGAATCTCTACGTTTTTTTTCGCGACCGACCTTTAAACGTTCCGCCTTGATCGTCCGTCGACGATACGAGAATCGCAATAACGGAAAAATGGGGATCCCTTAATAGCAGGTGGTACTTTGACGCCGCTCGCGCCACTGACGATGCAAGAACTAAAATTGAGCCAAACATTGGACGGGGCTAACATGTCTCCTTACCACACCACCGGTGAGTTCGCCACCTCTTTAGTTCTCTATACGGTCTCGCGCCGAGTCATGTATACCTGTTTCGCTGAGCATAAGATTTTTATTGAGCCTCTCTCAGACATGCGTGTGTCCAACTAATATATGTCCACATCTCAAGTGTGTTAAACCAGCGTCGAGTGTCAACCGCGAGATTAAATGCGGTATCTTCCTCTCTCCCCATAAAGATCCTTCTATTATCCACCAGTTGTATCTTATATGTCCGACGAATCAAAGTCACACGCATTTTATTATCTATTTTCTTAGTCATATTTTATTTTTCCATTCGAGTTAAATAAAAATAATGCGTTCAATTCTTGCGCGAATTTTTTGTTTCGTCAAGATCAGTATTGATTGAAACATCAGGAAGAAGTGAAAAGAATTGAAAGAAAATTTAAATACAGAAAATATATCGCGATTGAAAATATACAACATGTCGGAGCAATCAAGATCCCGGATCCCAGACTTTTTTCCCCAATTCCATCTCACCGAAACAGTTTAATTAAGCTTTAGACGTAAGGCGCTGATCGTTAGCTAGTGCTTGACTCGAATGTCGTGTTGTGTTGTGCATGGCCATAGCAGAGAGCAGTACCGTCGCAGTATCGTATGTCGGGGTGGGGGCCGGTGGGGGCGAGCAAAGTCCCCCGATTTCGTTGCAGAACGAGACAAACGCCACCCCCGCGGCCCCCAACACCCCCGGAGGGGATCCCGGACTGACGGTCTTGCAGCCGCCAGTTTCTCAGCCCCAGGTAGCCTCTGCGATACCACCGTACTCGACGATGCTTCCAAGTTTCGGACACTACGCCACCGGTGAGTACAATCAGAAACCACCGCTTGCTTAATCGTCTGTCAAGGACAAGCGTGCTCGTATACCCTCCGGGGGTTGAACCGGGCCGGGTGGTACGTTCGGAGGGTAAGTCAGAGCTCTTTCTCAGAGCGCTGATTTACCAGTTCGAGGCGGTCCAGCAATGGCAATTTTGCCCGGAAGGACAACGGATTCTGTCCGTCGGAGAGACAATCGCGTACCAATGGAGGATACTATGACAACACGCATTTTTCCTTAGTAGATGTGTATATATATATATAATCGAAATAATATATTCTCCTCTTATTTGTACGCTATACTCTTTTGCGAGATAAAAAATATATAACTGTGTTTTTTTATTTACTTCATAGTTACTATTTCTCCAAAGAGAGTTGTTGTTACTACGTTGCTTAAATGCTAATTGTAGCAAGATCCATTATCTCGAGGAGCAGTAATAAGCAGCACTGTTTCAAGTGCCGTGTGTTTTTTAATTACTGTGTTAAAGTCAAGTTACTGCGCGAGAGTCTAAATTAATCTTTATTATACTGGCGCACTTTCGCGCGCGAGCGTAGTCGCAAGACTAGTTTCGGAAATTAATCGAGACGGATTAACATAACGCGTCGAGAGAGAACTGTCGGAGAAACTGTTGGAAACTGTCCGTCAACCCTGTCTGTCAACACGCGCTAATCAGCTTATCGTCGACTTTTGTTCAGGTGGCGGCGATTACGCGTACAGCGCTGCGTACTCCCAGTACTCGAGTGCACCTTATAGCGGCTACGGTTATGGAGCAGCGACAAGCGGGTTGCTCAGTAAGTAAACAGTGAGTATGAGTACCGATTAGATTAGGGATGAATCGAATGTACACGGCAGCTGCAGATGTTGTTTCTCTCCCGGACCAGCGCCGTCGATTATGCAACTTTTCCGAGTTACACCCCTTTCAATTATATTTGACAATTACGCGGATTCGTGTCGGATAACATCGAGCTACCAGTTCCGTACGTCGCATAATTCGACTCCGATTCAATCCTTCGTAACACACGAGATTATGCACTATCTGCAAAGATCGCGATACCTCTCTCTGCCTCTCTCCCCCGCGGGATACATATAAAGAAGAAACGCGCGCGTGCGGAGAGCAGCGAATAGAATAATAAACCGTTCTTTTCTCTCTCCCTGTATATATCGGACACGCGATACACAACTAATCCGTAACACGTAACGCAGATCCGCTCGCGATATCGCAACGCGCTCTCTCGCTCCCCTTCTTCTGTCGGCGCGCACGCTCAACTTATATTCCTTCTCGTTCCCGATATTCCACGCGAGCGTTACGTGAGGCGCTATAATTAAACGCGAAAATTAGATAGGTGTGCACCGCGGAAAGCAATTTATACCATTTTAATTCCGCGCGCGGGAAAACGTCGTTGCGGGGGAAAATCGCTTGAATATGCAAGGTGAAGCTGTAAATTGCGCGCGAGACGAGAGAAATTGAGATGCGCGCAAACGCGTTTCGCGCGAATACGTTAATTACAAATCTCGCGGAATTAAGAAACAAAAAAACACGACAAGGAAATGCATAAAGCAGGAATGTAGACTATATTGACACAGAAAGAGAGAGAAAGAGAGACTCGCAGATTCTAACCGCGACGAACGTGAAATCGTCCAATATCTTGTTCCAGACTCCACGTACTACTACTGCAACGGAGACACGTCCACCCACACGTCGCAGCAGGGTGGTGGTTGCACCGGCGGTGGTCCGGAGAGTAGCGCCGACGTGGCCAGCCGTTCGCCCCTTGCGGCGACCAGGGCTAGCAGCGGAGCTAGCGCGGCCTCGCCGACCGGAAGCGCGTGCACCAAGCCGGACCACACCTCCGTCACGCCGACGGACCTCTATCTCGCCTGATGGTCGAACCGCGCGAATACCGGAGGGAACGGCCTCTGGCCGAGTGTCCTCTCGGCGATCGGCGGGGAGACGGCGGGCTCGGGCGCCATATCACGAAGAGACACCACGTCGAAATTAAGCAATGATCTCTGATTCAACCGCGAAATCGGGAAAAACGCGCGGTGAAAGGTTCGCATGTGGAATCTATTCATCCGAAGGATCGAGGGCGCAGCGGAAAAAGATGAAAGGAAGCGCGAGATTGGAGAGAAAGATTCGAGATGGAAAATCTAGTAAAATCTAGTGACGTTGAAGAGATCTTCTAGAATCTAGACACTCTCTGAATCTCGTCGCGGAGGAAGGACTTGAGAATTTTGATTTGATAAGCGCGCGATGTGATACCAGGTAAAAACGAAGTTGATGCGAATGACGTCGATCATGTCGACATTGACGTATCGAGTTCCCTCGCGTTGCTGCTGTTTCATGTCGCTACGAGTATATAAATATCCGTCTTCTGCATTTTATTTATTTCCGTCGTGATTCGAGAAAAAAACAATCGTCGATCGATCGACTCCGTAAATTGGCCGGCAATTAGCGGTGACGCGAGTGGATCTCGAAGAGCCGATCGCGTCGAAAACACGACATCGCCGCGGCTCTCTGGACAGAGCGTGCGGCGATAGGTAGTTTAATTTAATGATCCTCAGTTAGCGTAATTTCCGCGCGATGGTCCACGCGAGCGCGCGCTTGCGTCAGCAAGACGTGGCCCCGCCGCGACCATGTAAATATATATAAATTGAACATATATAAATAAGAATACAAAAATATATATATATATTATATATATATATGATCCGTGTAAACAAAAAAGTCAAGCGCCCCGATGGCACGTTTATTCTCTCCCGTAGGCACGACGAACCCTTCCTCCTCATCCCTTAAGAGTATCGTAGAGTATAACTCGATAAGTTTGAGATTTTTAAATCAGGAGTCGACGTAACGATCACTACTGTTAAGGATATTATATATATTTTTTGTAGAAACCAAAGACCACACATATACACACGCATACACCCATCAACACGCACACACATGCGCGAGTAAATCCACAAACACAATGCACGTACATATGTCTCACACGCGTACCACCCATGCACGCAGCACGCACATCAGGCATTGATACACGTAACGCGGATAGTCGAACGAACGAGCACGTCGCGCAGCGTGCGGCAAAAAGCGTGCCGGTTTTGAGCGGCCTTTCCGCACGGATAAATACACGCGTAATCGCAAGTGGCGTGTACAGGATCGACGTAGAGTTTCTAATTAGAAAAGAAAATCACGAATTATAATATTTGCGAAAAATCAAGGAGATAGCTCTTGAACAATTTTTGAAATTTAAAGGTGGCATTCTCTCTCACCCGAATAATTCATTCAAACGCTCGATTAAATTTTTTTTTGTTAAGGTAAGTACGCGAATCGCAGCAGGATATCGAGCACTATTGTATGGAGAGCATTCGTATTCGTGGTAATTAGCGCAAGTCGGCGCATGGACATTTCCTCGACGGCCCGGCGATCACGCTCGTTCCTCCGTTCCGTTCGACGCGCTTCCGCTTTGCAGCGGAAGTCGTACTGCTTCCCGCTCGCCGTCGGGCGGAACGCGCCTCGAGAAGATTATCACGAAGGCGCAATTAGCGGCCGGGCGTCGGTGATTTTTAATGAGAAATTACGCTCGCGCGAGAGAGCACGCGCGCGCAGTTTCCCGATTTAATAATCGCGCTAATCATTGACGCCTCGGCAGCGGCACGCGCTACCAATTTCATGCGTCTCGAATTAATTCAGCCAGTCCGCCGCATAATATTGTAGATCGGAAATTGCTTGGCGATACTTAATCCGACAATTTCTAGTCACGCACGCGCGCACACACACATACATACACACATGTACACACAAGATACTCAAGAAAAAAAGTGCGCTAGCGAACAAAATATTGCAATATGTTTGAGGTAAATTCAAAGGCAAGTATCGTCTCTAATATTAAACACGTCGATGTAAAAGACATATTTTTTTTTTTTTATTTCAACTCGTTAGCGTCGATCCAAAGCGCGCTCGCGAAATCGAAATTATCGATCCCAGCCAATTGGCTTAATTTTCCGAATCTCTCGCGCGATGTTCCGTCCGTGTCAATCGCCTTTCGCCCGATAATTAGATACCGTACTTGCGAGGATCAAACGTTTTGTCTCCACCGTCTTTTGCTTTACGCTCTTTAGCAACTTATATTTTGATAAATAAAGGTAATTAGCGATCGTACTTAGCGATTGCAAATGCAATCATTAAATTGCTAATCGAATTAAGGCAAAAATCGCGATGTTATACAATTAAAACAATAGGGTGATACGAAACCGTGCGGGAAGGTAAAAACGTAGATGCAGAAAAAAATATGACGCTGAGAGATTGCTATCGTTTCCTTCTTTCGCGCTCTCTATAAATCCCGATGACACAATATTCTCAGTTTGGTATCGCCGAACGGGAGACACAAAGAAATTTTCAGAAAAGTTCGAGGAGCGATATTCAACGCGTGCGAATACGAAATGTATGTTTGCATCTTGAGTGCAACTAAATATCGGCTGGATGATTGCGTCCGATGCTCGGTACGATTATCCCGCGATTGATTATTGCGTACTTATACATTGTTATTTTATTGCTATTATTGTAATGACGCTGATTATATATATAAATTCTTATTCTATTTGCTATTTTCACTATTTTCATTATTTTATCACGATTATTATTATTATATTATATTATTATTATTATTATTATTATTATTTATTATTATTATTATTATATCATCATCACACACATCTTTATTATATTATTATTTAATGCCTTTATTATTTATTAATTGTAATGATGACCTATGTGTAATAAGTTTTGCCAAAGAACCCGTCGAGAGAGCAATATTATTGCAGTAAACGTTTTCTAGCCTCCATAGGAGAAAAGCAGTCGATGAAACATGATTATATTGAAAAATTAAGTGTGGAAAAAGGCAGAGAGATAAACGACTGTGCGCGGCATTCGAGTGATAGGCGAAATACATTAATTTGTCCGCGCAAATTGTAGACTCGCGAATCTCTGTGAGATTTTGACTCGAAGACGCCGCGGCCGCGCATTTTTAATAAGCACACAATTATAATTGTCTCATTTTATCTCGTCGTTTTTGTCTCCCGTGTGATATTCTTGTTCCGTGCGCCGCTCTTGCCGAGTCTCGCTGTTGATACTTGCAAACAAAACTCTGTACATCCTTTTTAAATAAATATGAGGTTTATATGAACGTGGTATGGTCTACATTTAATTCTCTCGTGTCACCTTCATCTTCCCTTTATTATATATTATATATTTTCAATAAATAAATGTTTATATGAACTCTACTTCTATGTTTAATTACCCATACCTTCATCTTTCTTCAATAATACTTATATTTTGCAAGAAACATATCTTTAAGATTTAACATTTTATATATATAATTATTTAATTAAATAACTAATTATTGTACTGCAAAAATCAGAAATATCTGCAAAAAGATCTTTTTAAAAATAGTTCTCTTTTGAAGTGATTTTTCTCCAATTCATAAGTTATCTAGTTATTTAAAGATAATTAATTAAAGAGGAAAATAATTTTTTATTAATCGCACTATAATATTGTAAAAGATAAACATTAGAGATAATAATAAAATTATAAATCTTATCGCAAATTATATTGGATATAGTAAAATTAAATGGCTATAGATATAATAAAATCTGATTATTATAACACGTTTTAATTGTTTATAACGCGTTTAAATCAGTATCTTGATTTGTATACATATTAAGCTTATATTTATATCTCTAAAACTGTAATATAAAAATTGATTAAATATTTGAAAAGAGGAGATACATGTAGTGACATCTAGTTGCAGGCACATGAGCTATATATGAATAATAGTAAGATATAAAATTTTCTAAAAATATTTTATTCAATTATAAGAAACAATAAAATTTTGTATACATATATCGCTTATTTTTATATAAAAATTGTTTATTTTCAGTCCTTTTCAATTCTGATGGCAACGAATCTACAGCTGTAAATGTACATTCCTCTTTTATTAGCCTTATGCAGATTAATGAATCACAAATCCTGCATTCCCTATATTATCGTTATATGATATTTTAATCAATTAAAAGTGTACGTATGGATTAATATACAATGTAAATAAAATCAATATAAATAAAATATACAATATAAATAATCAAATAAAATCACAATTTGATCTTTTTGAAAGATCTGTATATAAACATTAAAATGCTTGAAGAATATAAATTTTGAAAACTATTTCAAATGTTATTGTATATATAAATATATACTTTCAAATGTTCTATTTTAATACAGTAAAGGTTTTTACATTATTTTATTATAGTTTTTATACCAGCATAATAGTTTTCATAACAGTATAATATTATTATTAGCAAATTTTATACAGCTCGAAGTTGTCTTCTCGTTCTTATCACCACGCATTCCTGACTAACACATCCTATTCTTGTCTGGGATGGCCTGTCACATTTTTTCGTCCCAAGATCTGTAATGCTTCTTCCTTTCTCTCTCCTAATTATCTTCCACAACCATCAATTATCAGGTTTAAACATTTCATTCTTTCAAGAGAAGGATTTGTTATCATGTTTAATATATATATAGAAATATAATAAATATATAATTTATTTATATAACGAATATCTCTCTTAGTCTTTTTTCTTCGACTTGAACAGAGTATGAATGACCCTACTGATAACTACGTTACTGCTCTCTGGTTCATTAGAATACTCAAACCTATTCATCCAGCCTTGCCTTCGTTAAGACAAAGATACTGTCCGGGAGATAAAATTTTTATTATAACTCTTTCTTTTAGTACAAGTTCTTTTTTAATTTCTTAAAGAGAATATCATATCAGAAATTATAAAATATAATTACAATAAATATATAATACAAATATGTCTACATATATGTTACATTAAAAAACACAAGACGATTTAATAAGAGATAATCTTTGCTTGAAACAGGACGTAAATGATATATATGTTTATTTCTTTGCTAGAAAATGCTCGGAATTACACCGACATTATAATCACGTATGTGAATGTATAAAATACATCAGTATGAGTTATTCCTGAATTAAAACATAAATAACTGCGATAAGAAATGACAGATGGACATGTAGTAGTGAAACGATTTCACATCTTAGGTGTGATGTGTGACAATTAAAATGAAAGTTGTGAAAAAAGTGTCGGCATATCTTTTTTAGATTTTATCTGTGTATCGAGTTTTCGTCAAAGTCGTGCGGTGCTCACTCGAGCATGTCTTTAAAAAAGTAGAGATAACGCAAGGAGGATACACAAAGAGAGTAAGAGAAGAAAGTCCAGAATGCCAATGCTCGAAAAACTACACACCGACATTATAATCGCATGTGTGAGTAAAAATGAATGAAGTACATTTGT